TTTTTTTTTTTTTTTTGGAGACATTGGTGTGATTTCACCTTCATTAGCTCAACACACCAGCTCAGATGCTGTGTTGTTAGGGACTTGGTGCACTGTTAATCTGTGCTAGGCTGATAATTGGCATGAACTGTGGTTCACCTTTAGGCCAAAACCACGGTGCACTACTGTATTATATGTGGCACTTCCTTCCTACGCTGTGCCCTCCATCTGTGGTGAATGGCATGCCAATGAAGTATCCAGCAGGTGAAGGCCAAGAAAAGGTCACAGCACCTCTGGAAAATACTGTTTCAGGAAGGTGGAGCTGGTTGCCTCACTCAGTCGCACTGTAATACTTCTTTCTGTCTAGTCTTCATCTGCCTACCTGTTACTTTCTTTAGTTTTACCTCCATCAATCTGTCTTTCTCTCCTTTTCTCTTAATCCCTTTTACAGCCAGTCTACTGGTGTCCATTCAGACCAGAACATGACACAGAGACATTTATGTATCTTTGCAAAATAGTGCTCAAAGCTAAAAGCTAACTACCACCACTCTGGTAGAATGCACTAGCTGTGATAGCCACCAAGCTGTCTGGCTAGCTAACTGGAAGTTAGTAGGTTCACTTACTAACTAGACTTGCCATGTGCTGGCAGGGGAGAAAACTACCTCTGTGTCCACTAACAGCGGCACCTTCGGGCCCACGGACCAGGGCAGATCCCCTCCCTGGCTTCATGTGAGGGCTGCAGTGCTCTAAACAATACCGCTGTGCCCCAGCTACGTCCTCTGCCATATATGTTCACTGTAGCTCGGTCTCCCAGATAAATCCAACCGCCCCCACATGGGGTCAGAATAAACACCTAAGTCATGTGTTTTCCCCTATCATAAATTATGGTGGCTAACATTCTGTCAAACCTAGTCTGTGGGGGTGTCAGTCAGTCCTATTCCCACGAGAAAGAAGCATTTATGACATAAGCGGTATAGATAATGGATGGAAGGTGGCCTTCTAATCGCCCCATTAAAACAATAAACTCTGGAAAAACTGGGTGTGGGGTGCAAGGTGTGAAAAAGCGTGACATCAGTAATAAATATTGTCTTTATACCTCATTTTTACAGGTGTTACACTGTAACTGCTGTATCTCTTTGACTTCTCTCTCTCTTTTCTTAGCATGTTCATTTTCTAATGTTTATGCTTCTCTCTCTTTTCTCTGTCCCACTGCTTTTCAGTTCCTTTGTCCTTTTCCTCCTCATCTTAGTCTGTTTCCTCCCTTCCGTTTCCCTTGTATTGTGTCTCTCATGACTTTTTTCATTACTTCGCTCCACATCTCTTCTTGTCTCTTCTCTACCCATTATTGTTGTTTTCTTTGCCTAAGTATACATTTGCATGCATTATTTTGCTTACGGTATCTCTTTTCTCATAGTGCAGTATATACAATATAGTCCTTTCTCACATACACTTTTCATTTGGGATACAATGCATTTAAAGATTCGGAGACATTAATACAGAGAAACATACCCAGAGTGTATACCATTTCCACAGCATAAGATAAATCTCATCTAAATTTCTTTTCCAAGGAAGAGATGTTTTTCTTGGCTCTGCAGTTTGGAATCTCTTTGACCTTGTGCTGTTTATGGCACAATTCAATGGCCATCTTTCGGCACACACAGGGCCTTCTTCAGGGATCAGGCCATATGTAAGGTGACTGGTTTGTTATGTAAAGTAATGATGAGCCAGGATGTGTGAAATATCCAGTGATCCATTTGTTACAGAGACAAGTTAAGACACACTTCATTCACTGTGTTACCCTGGAAAAAGGCAGTACTCTACTGGGGGAGATGAACTGATATACTGATGTGTTTTCATGAAAGTGCCTCCTGTGTATCATCTATAGCTTAGTGAGTAATTGTAACACTCTTCAGCCCCTATACTGTATGAATGAAACCCTCCAGTGTGCTGCTGCCTGCAGCTGACGGATGTTACTACAAACTGTTTTTATTGGAGCTACTGTCCAGTGAAGAAATAGTCCCTATGAAAAACATTAACAGCATTAACACCAGGGTGTTTCTGGACAAACATATGACCTTTTAGTTTTGACAATGTTATTTTTTCATTTTAAATAATCTCACTACTTGTATCTTTTAAAATGTGGAGATGAAAGTAGAGTAAACTGTCCCTTGCCTGCTGTAGCTAAAAATAGCCCATCATTAGCAGTCAGGCTAATTAGGGACGTTGCATTTTGTGTGCAGGTAATATGTCATGTTTTTCCGCCAGAGGAGGAGTCCTGCAAAGTCAGCACTTATTGATCACAGATCTGCACAAGTGACTGAGATGTGGTCCAGTGCCATTGATCTTACGATGAGGTTGACCGTTTTTACCGTTTTATGTTCCAATAGCCATTGTGCTTGTTTTGTATTCATGTTATTTTTTGGTCTTGGTATAAAAATGTGCTTCACCTGGTACAGAGAGTTACTTTACTGCAACAGGGTCTTTTTCAGATCAACCCTAGAGAAATGCCGACCACATGGTCCATTTGTTTGTGTGGTAGAGTCCTGAGAAATAGATGGCTGTGCTTTTTTCTTTGTTCATGTCTGGCTCCTTAAAATGGATTTTCACTTCATATGCTATGGTGGTCGAAGTATGAAAGTATTCCCGCCCACATAGGGTAGACATGTTCATACAAAAGCAGTACATGCAGCAAAAATAACCGGGCTTCATTAAATGTACAGAAGGCAAAAATATTGACATTTTATTGATGTGCACCGTGAGCAAAGAGGCAGATTCAGTGTGTTCACTTGGAAACACTGGGGATAACCTTGTTCCCTCCTTGCCACATTCTGCACTTCAGGAATTTAAAAATTCACAGACTGAAATGGAGACAAATAGTTTGAAACCCTTTTGGTGGTTTTGAATTATTTATATAGCTTAGATTTTGGTGCCCTGCGTAGTCGCTCAGCAGAATGGTTATCACAATGATTCAGTATTATGACTCAGTCTCCTCTATTTCTAGGGGGAAGTTGTCCACCACTTTTTGGCATCTTTTCAGACTCATGCTGTGATCTTTTAACTCGAAACTCTTCACAATCCACATCATTTGTTCCTACATCCCTATTTGTGTTCTTTCAGTGTATCTTGGGTACTTGTGCATGAGCAATGAGCCTGTGTTTCTTAACTGGGTAGTCTATTGATCACCTCAGCTAAATGCCCTGGCCTATAAATCAGTGCCTCGCCCCTCGCAACCCGTTAATCACATCCGCCTGCAAAGACAACAAGATAATTAAAGAAACATGGCTAGGTCTTAAAAATATGCTCCTTTAATTGCCACAGCAGTTTATTAGGGACTTGGGCAAGCTCAACTTAAGCATCCATTAACTGTGAGATTCAAGAGGCAAGGAGCTAGCTGGGAGGAGGGCTTATGCTGTGTCTACACCAAAAGCCTTTCATTTTAATCAATCCAGCTGTCTACACTGCCTGTGTGTTGGCTTGTGTATCACTCATGCTTTACGTGCGTAACTGTGACCTGAAGTGCATTTTTATGCTTCAGGTCTGTTTTTTCAAGACTAGGCATGTAAATTCTGCAGAAAACTTGATCAAAACAATGAAAGCTCACTAGTTCCGGCCAGAATTCCACCAAAGTAGTTGAGAAATACATCAAGCAGACACAGCTAAAACGTGATCTGTCATCCTCAACATACTGTTTCTTTTAAAGTGTTATGTTTTTTTATGCTTTCATGCCGGCAATAGCCATGGTTTTGGGTTGTCCATCTCTTTATTCCTTCCTGTGAACAATGTATGTCAGGAACGCCTTGAGAGTTTCTAGGATGAACTGATTAGGTCTTGGTGGTCAGAGGTCACTGTCCTCCCGTCTGTCCCATTACCATTAATCTGACTGGTTGGCGGAGGCAAACAAACTGAACTTCACTGACTTTCATTTAATTTTTATATATGCGTCTAGACATACTGTCTATTTACTGTATGTACTTTATTCAAATAAGATTTCACTTATGCACATTTTTAGCCATGATTTATAATGTATCTTTCTTGAACATATGTTTATGTTTTATGTTCACCATGCCTGTTTATTCCTGGGTAACATGATGTTCACCAGCATCATGCAGTCCATTACTACAACACCACCACCAACTATGGTCTCTAGATTACCAACTATCTGTCAATATGAAATGCAAAAGATATTACACACTTCAAGCTTCATAAAGCTAATAATGCACTTGTACCATAGTGTTACTATATTGGATTATTCTATATATTATTAGTGTGCATGGATTTATGCTCAACCCCTGTGAAACCTTCTGAATTGTTGATATAATCTCTAGTCACACAACTTTTTATTAAGTACAGCCTTTATGTATGTAATTAGAGATTTGTCACATTCTTTCTGCACACCTCCAGAGACTATTAATGTAACAGCACACTGGTTGCAGTGGGCAGTCTGTTCTGTTTCTGTTTTCAGATATTCACTCCTTTCATCCATCATTACCGGGGGAAAAATACACCTACTTAGGGGCTAAAATTAACTCTTTGAAAATCCTGCATCATCTCTCCTGTCTTGATCTAAATCACAAATTGGCCCTCTTATGATCTGCATGAGAAAAGCAGGCCTGGGATGATGTGGAGATGGCCTGCTCCAGCCAGGCCTGGGGGCCAGATGAAAGCACAGCCACCTTTGATGTTATGACAGGGACTGATGAATACTTCACACCACGTCTTCTCTTGATCTCGCACATTTTGTATGTGTGCGTGGATGTGTATTTTTAGAAAGTAACTATAACCTCATGCATAAAGTATAAACTCCCAAACACATGAACAAGCCATTATCCATAGGTCATAAGGGCAGACAGGTATGAAGACAGAGGCTCCCTTTAGAACAGGCATTTGTGTATATATACAGTTTAAAACTGTGTGCAGGGCTGTGCATCACTATGAGGCCTGTGCAAAGTGAAGCTGTGTACACTCTGGTTTGCATTTTGGTTCTCCAGTCAGTTCATGTGTATACATGTATGTGTCCACAGTACCCGCCAGTGTCATCTTCTGCTCGACATCTTCAACCCAACAGAGCATGAGCTTACCGTCAGCGCCAACAACAACCAAGACCTAGTTCTCCACGCTAGCGAGTGTCAAAGGTGAGTGGACACTCTCTTCCTACATACAGATGGATAAAGTCTTGTCATATGGCCTCAAGAGAATTGTATACAGTATACTTTATTCTGTGCTCTTTCTTTGTGCTTGGTTAATGTTCAGCACTACTTGTTGTTTGTTCAGGAACTGAAGCAGCATACTGGTGTCACGTTTTCACCCATGACCTAAACATCAGGTTCACTTTACTGCCAGCAAGTGCTCAAAAGAAGCCTGACCTTCTGACCTACAGTTCACATGATGCTTTGACCACTGAATTTATGAATGAACCCCCGACAATCAGCTGGCTAATGGTTATTGTTTTATTCATTAGCCCATGTTAGTATAATTTAGTTAACTCTGTGTGTGGGCTCAAGGCTGCTTAAATTAATAACATACCTGGGCAAGGAGAGAAGCTACGAGGTAGTCACACGGAACACTGCATTTCGCTGTGATGGACTTTCGCTAGATATTCCAGCAGATTGCTGGTGTTTCCGCCCTTACATGCAAAAGAGTAGACGTGAACCTGGAGCGCTTCGTGTTCACAATGCAGTGGTTAAGCGAACTGCACCACAGACTTGAAAGAAACCTGAGACCCCCTACCAAGGGGGTGCTCTTACTTACACCCTTACTTTCCCTTGAGATGCAGACATACATAACCTGCATATGTGCACATAGATTATCACACTCTCTTTCTCTCATCATTTCCATAGATTACCTCGGTCTCTCCCTCTCTCTTGCTCAGTTTGCCAGTTCACTGGAAAGTAACAGATTATAATTCCTGTCAGCGCTAGCTCTCCAGTGCATCCTTGGCCACAAGCAGAAGTACACTGTTGGTGACTCATACACCTTTCTCCACAGCGGTGGAATGTTGTTACTATTTGAGCAGAACTAGGGGGTGGAAAGTGATCTTTTCAGACAGAGCCAATGAGCTCATCTCTCAGCTTCTCTTCAAATGAGCTTTCCTGTGCAGAAATTATTAGATGTTAAGATCCACAAGCTTTACCAGTATTTTGTAGCTGTCATTGTCCTCGAACGAGAAATAGCTTGAGAGCTGTTTAATTTACTCCATTGTTTTATGGATTTCCTTGTTGAAAAGGTTTTATCATTGCTAGTGTGAGACCAGGTAACACAAGGGACACGGGTAAGTATTACATCGAGGCAAATACTCATTGCTGGTGGTAGCAAACAAACCGGTGCAACAGGCAGAGTGAGTCTTAGTTGAAGGAGCAGGCAGTTTGTCACCAGGCTGGCAGAGAAAAGTGAACAGCTCAACAGGGAGCAGACAGCTGACCGGCTCAAGGGACACACAAGTGTCCATGAACAAGTGACACAAAGCAGTTCAAAGAGGGGCAGGCAAGGTCTGAGTCCAAGAGAGAAAAAGAGTCAATAAACAAAGAGGAATCCAGGTATGAATGATGGAGAGTCGCAGGAGAGGGAGCTCAGTTTCTTCTCTTACAGATCGCAAGCAGCAAAACACACCCTCGCTTTGTTCAGTTCACTCAGGGGCCTTGCTGCTAAAGCGCTGGTCTGGTGGGACCAGTCGCTTATGATGACTGTCTACATATAAACTTTACATTGATGCTTTTTGTGTAATTGATCTAATTTTGTGAGTTTAGTGCCTGTTTGTTGTGCTACTGTTACACAACGTTCTAGCATTTACAATGATACCATAAATACTGTAGTTTCAGCTCATAGGCTGCACCTTAACCACTAGCCTACCAGGGAAGGCACTTTTTCTGAGTAACTACAGGTTCCTCAACACAGCCTGTGTTCCTGTAACATATTTGTGTGTTGTGTTCATTTAATTGTGGAACAATTTTTTCCCCAGCTGTACACAGTGTACAGCCAGGCCAGGTTCTGATTTAGTGTACATCAGGGGTTAATTTGTGCTGAAACAAGCTGGAACCGGATCCAGTGCCTCTCAAATTGTGACCACCACCTATTTTGACAGACCTGGCACCTCATTTACATGTGACAGAAACTGACTATATGAATAATATATAAAAAATCTGAGGTGTAATGCTTTTGGTACAACTAGCCTTTAACAACAGGATGTTAGACTAAAACTAGTAATTAAATACAATAAAAACAGGCACTTGGGCTTATTACATCACAACATAACAAGCCCGCGACGGTCACACTGGGTCAGGTGTTAGCCACGGAGCGAAAAAAGATGGGAGAATTTGCTAAAGTGTTTCAAGTCACAGCAGGACAAAGCCGGTCAGAAATCAGAAGCTAAACAACGCAGTTATAAAGCCTACAGCTGTTAATGAAAAGGTCTGTACAAACCAGTCTGATGATGAGGTCATGGATTTCAAATACAGCAAAGCACAGACTAACATGAAAGAGCATTACTGCATTATACAGTCTCTGGTGTCTTAAATTTGTTGCTATAATATTCTGAATATAATGTTAGCGTCTATTGGACTAATACGGTCCCAAATATGACATCAAGCTTGCTACTGATTGAACAGATTAGAGGCCGTAGCCTTGCAGTCCTAATGAATTTACACACAACAAATAATGTTTTGCCTCTATGCTGCTCCCTTAATGTGGAAGCTACCCAAATGCACCAGTCATTGAGGAAATGTTTTCATCTGGGAGCTCCTCTCCCCAATTTGACATGCCAAGTGTTACCAAGTGATATTCCAGGACCTCATAATTTACAAATTAAGCATTGGTGTACGTGGTATTGTACAGTGAAGTCTTTGCCTAATGGCTCCTTATTGTGTACTGTACCTGAGTCCAGCTTTCAGCCGGCTCCTTTTTTGATGTATTTTAATATATAAATGTGGATCCATACGTGGTTCATTAAATAACAAATCGTACTCGTATAAATAAATATCAAGCACATTTTTATTCCAGCGTCCCATGCTGGTTATCCATTTACCTCCCACTGCTGTGATTGTGTAACACAAGCCTTATGTAGAACTTTGCTATAAAAAGTTTCCTGAATACTAATGTGTAATGTATATTGTGATAGGCTCTGGTCCTTTCAGTCATTGTGGTTATTTTAAAAATTTAACACAAAGAAAACCTCAATTTTTTAAAAAAATGTCCAGGGACAGTGGTGGAAAGCCACCGAGTACAGTTTTGAGGTACTTATATTTTACTTGAGTATTTTTCTTGTGTTACTTTAAACTTATATTCAACTACATTTCAGAGGGAAAAGCTCTTTACTAAACTATATTTATTTGCTAAAGTTACAGTGCTGGGTGCCTTTCAGACTAAGATTTTACATAAAACACATACTAGAATCTTAGTAAATTCAATACATTATTCATCATTTGTTCAATATTCAACCTTTTGGTTTCCAGTTTTTGTTTGTTTGTTTTTTGGCTTTTTATGTGTTATAAAAATGTGAGCCTGGATGGGGGTCCTTGTCACAGTTCAGATGTTAGCAGTTCTAAACCTCTCAGGTGGTTTCATTTAAAACCACCTGAAAAGCACCAAATAGAAACGATTATCACCTACAGCAAACCAATAATCTCATATATAATATCCTTTGTTATAATGTAGATTATAATATATGTGTTCTTTGTGCAATTTTTACTTTTATTTTTGATATTTGAATTACATTTTGCAGATGATAATTACAGTATGTACAGTGACTTCCTGTAAGTAGGATTTTGAATGCAAGGCATTTACCTGTAATGGGGTATTTTAACCTTGTCATGTTCCACCACTGTCTAGGGATAATCCACAGCAGAGTTAAGAGCATACATTGAGTGAACATTTGAATAACACAGAAATAAAACTATGTTTAGATTATAGGATGTGGATGCTTGTTTCTGTCATGAGCCACAGTCAGGCCTTACGTTAGTGAATTCTAAGATTCACTTTACCCATTTCTCATTGATGCATCCATTAATTAAATGTTCTAAGAAATTAAGTAGAGGTCAGAATACATAATCTGCCAGCTCTGTAACTGATTTAAACCAAGCTGCTTCTCTAGAAGCTGATACAATGTGACACAGTGTACTTCTGAGGCATAAAATGTCAAGTCTGGTAAGAACAGCCCATGTAAATATAGACTTAACGTCGTTTTTCCACTGTGTCTGACATTCCCTTTAGCCACAGCTGCTGCCTTTGACTCCACCATTCAGCATGTCCATCCTGTGGCGATTTTTCTTGCAGCCTGACAGAGACATCCAGTAATTTCATTATCATGAGATTAGCTGAGATCCAGCATTGATTCTTTTCACAGCATACAGTATTTCTGTGCAGATACCCATATGAGGCAGAGAATGGTAGATGCAGTCGCACTCATCCCCAGCTCAGTTTGGCGACACACCGATCATTTCCTCTGAAGCGTACCCAGCTCACATACACAGGATTCAGAGCACAGTAAGATTTTGCATACAGAGAGAAACGGGGCTACGGACTCACAGGTCTCCGTCTGCAGAACCATATTGTGCTTGTCTCTCCAACTCACATCCTCTGTCGACATCAGATGCCCTGTCATTTTATATTTCTTTCCTGTTGTATGATAAATGAGGTGTCGGGTGCAAGATGTTTTCTGGAGTCTTCATCCAGGACTGGTGGAGCTCAAGTTTCAATCCGACAGTCGCAGAAATGACTCTGTCAATCATCTGCACTTTCCTCCAACAGCAAATGATATTTAATTGTTTCCACTGAGCTTTTTTTATTGCTGTACGAATAGAAAAGGGAGAAAAGGCCTTCAGGCATGGAGGAAAATATAGCGGCTTCGACGGAAGATTTAATAGTTTCTATACTTGTATCTGTATGAATGGAACATGGGAGCAACAAAAGCAGGCTTTTTCCATTTTCCAGTACAGCCATATTTAACTATGTTTAGATAGTGACAGGAGATAACTTAGATTTGCTGGAAAACAAAGTGCCTGTTGGTTGTGTCTCATCAGCGAGTTTAGTTTGTGGAGCGTGCTCTCTCTCTCTGTGAAGGTGGCGTGCGGAGAGGGGCGAGCAGGGTTAGTGAGTGCTGCTTTCATCTTCTCATATCATTCACAGACATGTCTTTTACAAG